ATTTTCTCTAAATCGTTCGTGCTACAAAGTGAGAGCCTGAATCGTCACAACCTACTCAGCCGGTGAAAAATGAATGTTCTTGTCGGCACGAAATCGAATCATCGAGTCATCCGTTACAAGGGTTCTTTCATGCCAGCGGCAAACTTCCCCGTATGTCGCGTGTCTGTACATTTATCATGACATGCCAGCAGAACAAAGACTTCCAAGTCTCTAGAATGTTGGCTTTTCCTTGGATATTAAGTTTTTTTTTTCAAGAATATATATACACGCAAGTCTGTATGTGTACTAACTTCCGGAATGAAGGAGGAGTTTGAGGTTATTAAAGGTTATTATTCCCATATGAATGTGTAAGATAAAGACGCGTGGTGACTAAACAATAGAAATTATCGCCCTTCGTCCTTGAATCGGTCAGGAATTGGGGGCTTAAGATTGTGCGAAACCACTGCCCAGGCAGGCCTATAAGGATCATAGTTCCGAACAAAACGCACAGTGCAGAAACGGCAGAAAGATAATAAATCCTAGAGCCACGAAAGCGCACTAATAAGATGTATCGTTCTGGCACGGAGTAAACTTGAATATAACCAACCACTGTAATGTTTTGTCTGATTTGTCTTGGAGGTGCTGAAAGAACGAAACGTTTGTTTAATTATGATTATTAATAATAATCTATGCACTTAGTGTTTTTTTTGTATCTATAAAACTAACGATAGCGTCACGTGTTTAACGGCTATATTTTATAGATGGCGAAAAAGGCATCTCATGATCGAATATAATGGAATATTTGAAATACACAATACCTGTTTTTATTATTGTTATTTTACAAAACATCATAATATTTATCAACAACATCCAAAAATACGTCATCTGAGTTTGGAAGGTATCAAACACTTTTTTATTGAATTTGTAGTATTTATCGCAATGTTGTAAAATGTCGAACTGTTCATTGCAAAGAATAACAATGTCACGATATACCCACAGAAAATAACTTCGAGTTGCATTGCAAATAGCTTACAATTATATCATACGTATTATCTTAATGTATTTTCAAATGGCAAAATTGCGCTAATTTTTTTTAAATACAAGTTTCTTAAAAATAGAAATGCGTAATGCACTGATTAGACCCGAAACCCATAATGTAATGAAGGTATTCAAAGTGGGTCAATTTTCATTTTTATACTAGTTCCAAAAAGATTACTTCAAAATGGTATGAGACTCAATCATTTTCGGACTGCAAAATCTGGTTTTGTGTAATTTAACAGATAACTGAACTTACTTACAGTAATGCGACTTTCTGATTACAAGGGGTTAGGGCATCATCTGCTCTTCTCTCAGATATTACTAACCCATGTCGTTTGGAATACTGTTATTCTCTGATGAGAAAGGTTTATGATAATATCTGGTTTTATGTTAGCTAACGGATAAGTCAGATTATTTATAATGTTTTGATGACCATCGGTTTGCTTATATTAGTTAAATTCTCATTGTATGTGGTTTATCTTAAAATAAAGAATTCTCAAAAGTCAAAAAATAAATACTTTCGTTCAAGATACCTATTAATGAATTTTTGTAAGTGTATTTTAGGTGTTGGGCATCGTCCCATAATGAAACATAATGCCTTTTAATACCTAGCTTTTATTCTCAGAACTTTGGCTGTAGAAATAGTGAACTTTGATTTTGTTTTCGTAAGGTGGGAAAGGTTTCAATAATCAGCTTCTAAGTAAGCACCTGCTTCGCAGGTGTTCTTTTCTTCAACCAATAATTAGATATAAGTAAGCTTAGAGAATTTTTGAAGCTCACTGAACAAGAATATTATCAGAAGACTAAAAAATATAATATCTATTATTTTATGAAGAACCTGAGCTAAATATAACGCTACACTTTTAAGGTTTTTAAAGCAAGGATCTAGTTGCAAATAATGATTTCCTCTTTCATCAGTCAACTGAAAATCATATCAGATTTTTATTTTCAGCTTTTATGTCGTTAGAAGTCTAATTGGTCGTTTCGGAAGCGTGCCACGTGATTTGCGATGGAAATTATAAGCTTGAACGACGCTAGGGATGAAGACAACGGATTCTAGACTGAGTGACCCGGAAGCGGAAGTGACGCCATTGGCTAGACTCATGAATACGAAATACGCAGGAAAAGAATAAAATAGATGACAGAGGGATAAAGTAGGGAGTTCAGTTATGGGGATATTTGCTTGTCAAGGGTCATTTGCTAGTGAAAAATGATCCAAGTTGTAACATTACGTCTTGAGTTAAGGTTAATTTTATTGGAGTTGTATACATAAATATGAAAAAAAAGGAAGATAGAAAGAGGGACTGAATTAAACCTGAAATGGAGAAATGAACTTAATTTCGACAACATTCTTAATGCTTTTAAAGATAAAATATCACAATTTCCATCGAAAAAAATATTTACAGTTGTTTTGTTTAAAGAAGGGGATATGAACACTATTATACACACACAAACAGAGCTTCAGGCTTAGCTTGCATATACAAAGGTACTACGTTTTTAAATTTCGGGATGCAACAATAAAACATTACCTGTAGTGTGTGTGTGAAAGTAAATATTTCACAATCTTTCTCTTCTCTCACTGAATATAAACAAAAACGAATGTAAAAGTTTCACTACAGCGAAACTATATATAAAAGAATTGGTGACAAAAACTATCGAATCAAAGTTTTATCCTTTCTTCTCCGTCTTAAGACTCTTCCCCTATTTTTCTGTACATGATTTGGAATTATAAGCCGAAGAAAAAGATTCGGTTCGAAAGCTATAAACTGCAGATTTAAGCTCATGAATGATATTATAGTATAACTTGTGTCACCAATATAAGCATGATTATGTTTTGATATATTACGTCTTTGTAAAGTAAGGCTATATATATTTTCAATTTAAGGAATCGTCAGCAGATGGTCTCTATTTCGCAGAAAAATACAATACAGGTTGCATTCAAGAACCTACAATAAGATTTGCGCTACTTTCTGTTTCTTATCAGCCACATGGCCAAACAGACACTAGTTTGACGAGTATCTCTAATCTGACAGCATTATTATTTTCATCTCCTCCCCAGTAAGGGTATTGAATTATAGACTGGGTTCCGCCATTTCTTACGCCTCTCTGCACTAATAAAATTCGTCAAGTTCAGCTTTCCAGTCGTTGTGGACGTGGTTTGTGCTAGACAAACCTTTGAAGCAATCGTTCATTACCTCTGTATCGCCATCGTTTCAACCTTCTTTTTTTTTTTTCAGAGGAGGACGCGAAAATTATATTTCAGTATAAACTGTTTTGTACTTTTCGGTCGACTGAGTTATCTGTTTCATTCGCTATAATCCTCTTATCGAAGTAGCACGATTTCAGTTTGTATGATGTTAAAGCTTAAGCTACACTTATTGGATTATATATAGGCTTAGACATATAAAATTCATTACGCTATTCTACATATTATGCATATATATATATATATATATACATATTATACGAAACTATTGAAGGAAAATAAGAAATGTAATGCAAGGAGAATTTCTTTGTTTGTTGAATTTTGCGCACAGATACTCGAGCCGACCTTAATTTTGAGGAGAGAGATTTGACAGAATGCAGTTAGTCAACACCACCAACTCTCGAGTCATTCTTTACCAACGCTAAGTGAGATTAAACATCACTTTGCAACGTCCCCACGGCTGAAAGAGCAAGTACGTTCGGTGAGGTCATTCGAATCTTCGACCTGCAGCTAGCTAGTTGAGCACCCTAACCACCAGGCCATGTCACCTCGTGGAATAAAAGATTGTACAAAAGGAAATAATATAAAAATATATTTCGAGAGAAAAAGAACGTTTAAAAAATGGGAAAGTGGTTATAAGAAAGAAGTAGAGAACCTTCTGTTCATATATAATTTAGAGAACAATAACAAATCCTCTGCTATTCCAGCAGCTCCGTTTATATGTTTGGACATTTCTAGTGTACAAGAATATTTTCTCAAGAGTATGATGTGATACGATTTCTCAAGTGTTTTGTCAATATCTCTCACTTTAACGTCTTTAAATACAAAAACATTTTTTGAATAAATCCAGTTTTTATTTACACAAATATCACTATCATTTAGGAATACACAGGAGTCCAGCTTCTGCTATATGGTCAGCAAAACCCATATTATGACCAAATAAGGACAGTCGTGTCAATCTACAATCATCATTCCTGACCCATCCCTTCACTCCCACCCCCCCCTAGTGGGACAACGACAACTTTACGGACTTACAACGCTAAACTTCAAGGTTCTATTCCCTACAGTGGACGAAGCAGTAGCCTAATGTGTCTTTGCTCTAAAATAAACAAACCAACATGCCATGAAGCTTATGCTATAATTGCCTACTGTGTGATATTGTGCGTTTTTTATTTCGAAGCAACTTCTTGAAAATAGGTGGCATAAATATATCTACGAATTTGTAAGAAGTTTTATACTTTTAAAAAGGTATTTATCGGGTGAAGAACAATTTTTGTCAGAGTTTGGAAAAGTGTTTGTAACACGAGGTTTTTTTTTCTCAAGGCAGTCAACATTTAATTGGCTAAATAAGTGATACACAATCCAAAGATACATATATATAAAAAACACGAGATAATACTATTTCTGTGGCTACCACTAATCAAAAGGATGACTATTTAGCAGTCAGTTGATAAATGGTATTTCTCAAATTCAAATAACGTATCCATTTAACTTTCAAGTAAACGTTATACGACTTATATAACAAACTGGTAAGTATGCCCCGGATTAACTTGATTCTGTATTCTTCCGTTTATTTCATTTTTTTGTCTTTTTTTACTAATATTTTATTGAAGATAGTATAAAATGTTTATCATTGATTCAGACAAATGTGTAATCTAAACATTTTTTATCATTCAAATTCTATATGATTTACATTGAGCGTCGTTTCGCTGGCTATACATAAAACTGCAAGAAGATATTGATTAGACGTTAAAACAACTAATTTATTATAACTTACCATGTATTAATGGAGAGGAGTCTCGCAGGTTGAATTCAGAAATTTTCGGATCTAGGCAAACAGAGACATGAGATTTTACTATACCTTGAAGTTGTTAATAAACATGTATCCACTTGTTATGTAACGTATAGGAATATCAAGTGAAACATTTAGTTAAAGAGCAGGATATTTATATATATCATTGACAAAAGCTTATTGTAGTTGTAAAGAAAAAATAACTTCTTAAAGTTTTATATTCTTGGCATATTCATATACGTGGAGTAATCGAAGCTATGTTGTAAACGAAACTAAATATGCACCATTTTCGGAATTACATCCTAATGGAATAGCTTCTATCCGCTTGAAAACATAATGATCTAATCTATTGTATCTCGTAGCATGGTAATGTGCTATACCTTATTTCTGTGTGGTAATGTAATCTATTGTATCTCAGGGATTGGTATATACTCTACTTTACATCTGTGTGGTAATGTAATCTATTATATCTCAGGGAATGATATATACTTTACATCTGTGTGGTAATGTAATCTATTATATCTCAGGGATTGGTATATATTCTACTTTACATCCGTGTGGTAATGTAATCTATTATATCTCAGGGATTGGTATATACTCTACTTTACATCCGTGTGCTAATGTAATCTATTATATCTCAGAACACAATAATATACTTTTCTTTATCCCTGTATGATAATACAATCTACTATACTTCTGAGAAGGGTAACATACTTTATCTCTGGATACTAATGTAATATGCTCTGTTTCTGAACGTGATAATGTAATACATTATCTCTTTAAGAAACGGTTATAATAATGTATCACAACAGAAAAAAAAATGTAGACCTAAATATACATAAACAATAATTTTCAAACAGAAGTTATATTTGTGAAAACCGTTTCTTTCAAGGAAATGCACTAACTAGTTTTTACAAACACTAACGTTACCAAAATGGAGCTCATCTAAGTAGGTTAAAAGCGCTTTATTTCCTGGGTTCACGTTATTTAGTAATATACTATACATTAAATGTTCCGGTAGTGTATTGAAGTAAATGAAACAAGTAAATGAAATCTGTCAAACCTTTCAAGATGGTTTACCTTCCTGCTCCTAAAGCTTCTTTCAACAACTTCTAAAATGCTTCCGTACACAATTTATAGGACTAGGCGTAACATAAGAGTTAGTGTGCAAGACTGCTAATCAGAAGGTATAAAGTTCGCACCGTAATCCGGCGGAACACGCTCCGAACTTTCAGCTATATGTGTGTTATCAAAGTGGCAGTCAATCCCATCATTTGACTGAAAGACGAACAAATCTCATGTGGCGGCAAGTGCTGTTGACTGGGCGGCTTAAATTGATCCAGTAATTCAAAATTAAAGAAGATTATATCTGAACTCTACTGGTCTCTGACCTGGTCGCTTAGCTCATGTGTCGTATGAGGTGCCTTTCAGGTAGAAAATACCGTTTTAGAAACTTAATATTACATAAAGTATACGATAATGGTATCTAAACATCAAAAATACTTTATTTACAGTTCCATTTCTGTTGGAGTCTTAATGATTGTACTAGAATCATAAATTGAGTTTATTCTTTTGATGACAGCATTGCATAATTTTACTACAAAGTAAATAATTTGATTAATTTACGTGCTTAATGTATGTTGTAAACTACAGTCATATAAGTTAACTTTTGACTAACTAGCATATATATATATATAAACGTCATGTTATCAAATTTATACTCGATCTCATAACATTCTACTGACTGAAAAGGTTCATAGAAAATGCTGAGACACTTTTTAATGTCTAAAGCCTTATTTACATAAGAATGAAAATTGAATCTGTGCTACAAGAGTAGCTTGTTATCATCTGGCTCATACTACACCACTTTCAGTAAAGTAAGTGAAATTAAGGGTGAAAGTGAACCCATCGCTCTTCTACCATACATTTAAATTCGAGCGATACAGGAAATTAAAGGATAAACTTCGAAAACGCAAAGCTAGCTCCACACGCGTCTTCAACAATTCCAGCCATGTTGGTGAACACGTGGCTGTGTCACTTAGAAAATGATAAATGTAAGCGCGGTCCTAAAAGAAGACGTTAAAGTGTTGTTAAACTTTGGAAACATATTAATTTTCACCATAAACACATGTCAAGCTACAAATCAAGATAAGACCAGAAGGTTCACTGATAATCTCTGTGATACAGAAGAACAACACGTGCAGAAGAGCTTTAATGGAGAGTGGCTTGTTCTTTCTTTACAGATTTGACTGTGAAGTGTAACTGCATGTAAGTGCAAACGAACGTCACGTGCGTGTGTGGGTGTGTTGGAGGACAACACAAAAAACTGAATCTTCTACAAAACATACAGAAGAGTCGGAGAGCTCTGATTTACGAGAGAATCTCGGTCTCCTCCTAGGTTCGTGATCGGTCATTTTGCATCGAAGTTACACATATACAATTAAATCTAATTATCTAATCGGTTTAATATTGATCTTCTGTCATGGCAACCAAAAGATTGATACTATTTCAAATCTAGGGTAAAACATAGATGATATGTAAATTGTATGGTTAATGATTATATATGTATACACACACACACACACACACACATGCATATACAGAGTGGAGCAAAATTTACTATACGGAAGAGTGGACAAAAGTTACTTTTCAGTTTATAGCTATCTTACCGATTGTATAGTTGGTATTAAACGATTGGTACTAAAGAAAATATTACGAAGAGAATTGAAAGAAATTGAATTAGTTTTAAATTGAGACGTTAGAAACTAAATTATGTTATAAATTAAGTAACTTTGTGGTCACTTTTAATTTACCTTGTATATATATATATATATAGCATTTGTAGATCAGATATATCAGCTTAAGGACCATTGAAACAACCATGTGATGGTAAATGTGATATAATACGTCATTTTGAATCGTCTAGACATAATACAAGTAAGAAATATATAAACATATAGGAATACTATTGGATTTAGTTTCAAGAAGACAGGAGGTATACACAAAAAATATCGAAGTAAAATTTGAATAAAATCTAAAAACATAAAAGACATTTTAATGAACAGGAATAAATAGTTATTCAGAATTAACTTACTGTCTATGTCTGAAAGTAAGTAAAACCTTTAAGTTTGACTTGCTTCGAATATTCGTGCAAAGCTACAAAAGATCCATCTGAACTAGTCGTTTCTGATTTGTACTGAACAAGGAAGACAACTGGTTAGCACCACCCATCGCTAACTATTTGGGCTACCCTAATAGAAGAGTGGGACTTGAGGGCCACTCTTATAACGGACCCATAACCTTAAAGTTCAGAGTGCGATTTTTTATTTGAGGCAAAAGGGTATAAACCATGAACCGTCGGATCCACAGCCAGCATGCTAACCACTAGGCCACGCCCAGCTTGAAATTGTTAGTATTTTATAGCTAAAAATATTGTGTATCCCTGAAAGACAATTTATCAAAGAGTCATCATAAGAGTTATTGTTGTAAAATCTAAGTAGGATCTAAGTATACAAGATTTCTCAGCATCATAATGAAGAACCCTTCATCTTATTAATGTTTTCGATTATTTAAAGTAAGATTTTTGTAAAGCCTTATAAATACGGCAAAACTTTTCGTATCCGTAAAAACTTATGAGCTTACTAAAAAAAGAAATTATCCAGTTATTTCAAAATACCAGGAAAATACTATTTCCAACTTTTTTTTCAACATTTTAAAGTCTCATATTAAAAGCTTCCTCTATGAATTATCATTCAAGCTTGAAAGTACACTGCAGGCTTGGAAAAGTATTTAATAATAAAAGTCCGTTAATGTACTCCACAAGTTTGCCATTATTGTCTGTATTAATAATAAAAGTTCGTTAATGTACACCAC